GGTCCGCATGGCGTCAGCACAGTGCTACAGTGAGTCTCGCCTTCTCCTGCGGACCTTGTGCAATACACAATGTCCTCCTGGACCTGGCGTTTCCCCAAAGCTACGAGCTCGCACAAAGGAATGGAAACTGGGCATTGCAGAATAAGCTTAGATCTCAAGCGTGTCCCAAAAGCAGAGAGGGAGGGGCTGGGTAAAGGATGGCCGGAGCAGGTGTCACGGCTAGATTCTCAGGCTATGTCTACACTATAGCGTTTTTGCAGAAAAATGGCAGTTTTTCTGGACATAGCCCTAGTCTTCCAAGAGCTCAGCAAGCAGTGGACGTGTGGGTAATATTGCTCCACAATATTGACCTCCCAGGGTCAGCTCACCCCTCTAGTGTAGCCACCCACCCCCCTTCCTCGGGCAGGTGCACGCTGCTTGGATTCCCAGTGGAATGCCTGCTGCCAGCGTGCAGCTGACCCTCCGGCATCTCGGCCAGTTCATCTCCTTACCGTGCCTGCAGAAGAGGAGGAGGAAGAGCGCTCGGAGGAGGAAGCAAGTGTTTTCCAGTTGCTGTGGGCTCGTATTGCAGGCGGACTTCCCCATTCCAATCCATCCAGAGCTTATGGGGATCGGGCCCCTCCCTGTTTCTTCTTTTCTTTCACCAACTCCCCTGGAAGCAAAGCAGAGAGAGGGATCTAGGCTAAATACACTACCGTGAGCTGCGGGATGGAATGTCTCGGTGCACTGAGTGTCAAGCTCAAATCCCTAGAGCCACAGGTTCAAAACCCACCAGGCTCAGTGTCCTTTCTTCATCTTTCCCACGGAGAGGGACCTGCCCACGGGTGACTTTATCCAGCTCCTTTTTAGAGCTTAATAACAAGACCCGGTCTGCGGTATGTGAATATTAGTGACCCTACAGCCCATGATAGGGGATTCACCTGGGTACAAAATACCTTCCTCCCCAGCCCCACTGTTCTATGCACTATGTTCTCTGTCCATGCTGGTAGGGCGTTTGACACGGTCTCGCATGATCTTCTTACCAATAAACTAGGCAAAACCAACTTACATGGGGCTACTATAGGGCTACGTCTAGACTGGCATGATTTTCCGCAAATGCTTTTAATGGAAAAGTTTTTTCCGTGCCAATCTAGGTGCGGTTTTGCACAAGAAAGCCCCGATCACCATTATTGCCATCGGGGCTTTTTTGCGCAAAACAGTTTTCAGCTGTCTACACTGGCCCTTTGCGCAAAAGTATTTCCGGAAAAGGGCTTTTGCCCGAATGGGAACGTCAAAGCATTTGCTCAAGAAGCACTGATTTCAGACAGGAGAACGTCAGTGCTTTTGTGCAAAATCAAGCGGCCAGTGTAGACAGCTGGCAAGTTTTTGCGCAAAAGCAGCCGCATTTGCGGAAAAACTTGCCAGTCTAGATGCAGCCTATGTGTAAATAAAGGCTATTTTATTTTTTTTAAAGGTTCACGCATTTAATATTGACTGGCCCATCTGCCTTTGGGAGTTTTAACTTCCCCCTCCTGGGAGCAGTCCATGTTGGTAGAGTTTGCAAATTGCTGAAAATGAAATAAAAGTTTCTGTGAAGGGAAGAGGATTTAGGGTTACAACTGCTAAACGAAGAGCTAAACAAGGGTGCTGGATGGACCACAGCCGTGCCTAGAACATTTCTCTCCCCCCATTTGGCCATCCTGGGTATTGGCTGCCAGGAAAAATAAAGTTAGATTAATAGCTGGGGGGCAGATGGTTTGAATCTGGCCCAAGTCAAAAATAAAACAAACTGTTAACAACATACGTGCTGTCCTTCTGGCCAACACCTGCCCTAGAACAAGGACTATCTGAGGCGACTGCAGCAGAGATGGGAGCTACAGTCCCTCCGGGTCTGGAGCACGTCTATACCCAGCGTTAGATTTCCGTAGGCTTATGCCTACAGGTTCTGAAAGTCTGCTCTACGGAGGTTTTTAAACCATGCTCACCATTGTTGTGTCTGTGCATCTTCCGGTAGCACACTAAGGGCATGTCTATACTATGCGGAAGATCAACGTTGCCACGGTCGATCTTCCGGGGTTCGATTTATCAGGTCTAGTGAAGAGATGCTAAATTGAACTCAGAGCACCTTCCCCCTGCCCGCCCCCTCCCCTGCCACCAGTACTGCTTCTCATGAGGAGTAAGGGAAGGTGTCAGGAGAGTTTGCTCCCATTGGCCTCTTGCAGTGTGGACAGCAATTTAAGATAAGTCGACCCCAGCTATGCAGTTAAAGGAGCTGGAGTTGCGGATCTTAGGTCCACAAGGCCTCAGTGACATGACTACATGCCAGCCCGATGGTGTTTGTTCTCTCGTCCTCCCCATGGAGAGAGAAGCCTTTACAGTGATGTCTTACTCTGGCATGGCTTTTAACTGGGTAAATCCAGCCTTGTAGCGGTGGTTGTATCTGAGAAGGCCAGAGCCAAGAGATGTGCTTCAAATGTGGAGTCTCAGGCTATTCCCGGAGAAGGGGTCGGTCTCCAGTCTGGGACACCTGTGGATTGATTCTTGTCCATTTCTGGTTGTTATGGGGTACCTGGAGCTGTCTGTGGAAGTCCTCATCACTTTGAGTGTAGACGGTGGCTGACATCCAGCGATCCCCCAAGCGCTTTCTACAGAGATAGGCAGGGTTATCTGCTTTACAAATGGTGGGACACTGGGGGTGTGTCTAAACTACATGGCTCCATCGATGGAGCCATGTAGATTAGGCTGATCGGCAAAGGGAAATGAAGCCGCGATTTAAATAATCGTGGCTTCATTTAAATCCGCAAGTGGCTGGTTGCTTTCTCTTTCTCGGCCAGGGTACATCTAAACTACATGGCTCCGTTGACGGAGCCATGTAGATTAGGCTGATCGGCAAAGGGAAATGAAGCCGCGATTTAAATAATCGTGGCTTCATTTAAATCCGCAAGTGGCTGGTTGCTTTCTCTTTCTCGGCCAGGGTACATCTAAACTACATGGCTCCGTTGACGGAGCCATGTAGATTAGGCTGATCGGCAAAGGGAAATGAAGCCGCGATTTAAATAATCGTGGCTTCATTTAAATCCGCAAGTGGCTGGTTGCTTTCTCTTTCTCGGCCAGGGTACATCTAAACTACATGGCTCCGTTGACGGAGCCATGTAGATTAGGCTGAAATGAAGCCGCGATTATTTAAATTGCGGCTTCATTTCCCTTTGCCGAACAAACAAATCTACATGGCTCCGTCGACAGAGCCACGTGCTTTAGATGTACTCTGGCAGAGAAAGAGAAAGCAACCAGCCACTTGCGGAGTCAGGAATACAGACTCCGGCTCTCCTGAGTCCTGGCATGGCTTGCTAGCCACTCCCAATTTGCTCCTGGAGGGCCACAGACCACGCGCCGCATGCAAGCACAGCAGCAGTTTCCTCCAGAAACCATGTGGTGAAATCTACCTACGCTGATCATAAGAGCCGCCAGGCTGGGCCAGACCAAAGGTCCATCTAGCCCAGAGCTGGCCTTACCATGAGGGGAACTGAGGCAGCTGCCTCAGGTGCCAGACTGGGGGGGACGCCATAGGACCCAGAGTGTAGAAAATTGTGCCTGCTGCTGTTAGTTCTCCTTTATTGGGGTACGTAGCAGAGCAGTCCCG